ACTAGTTTTAATTAAAAAAGGACTTGTATCGCTGAAGTTTCTCAGATAGAAGTTTTACGGGAAATTATCAAACAAGTAGATACGTAACAATAATAACATAAGAAACTAGCTTTATAGGTAATAATACCCACAGCCTGTATTTGTGAAATAGCAAAAAACACCGATCCAGACAACAGTATATTCTCATGACGTTTAAACATAAAACTTTAAGAAAATAATAATTATTATTGTTATAAAAGTAAAATAAATTTTTAGATATTGTATATTTTAATTAATTACTTAAATTAGATTTTTAAAATATTTTTATGTTTACTAGTAATTATAGGGTTAATCTGTGAGGAAACACTTGTTGACCCCGTAGCTGTAAACCTCCTTTTCAGCTTAGGATTGAACTCCATGTGGCATTTGTGAAATAGTGAGTAGAAAAGTTAATTAAATTTAAATATTTTTAAAAGTGATTATCAATTGTAGTTACTTGAATTTAGCACTCATAAGGTAATTTTGAAATTTTATAGTTATAAGTAAAATAATTCACTTTTATCTATAAAAATAAAAGAAAATAAGTGAGTCTTTATATAGCTCAAGCCTAACATAAGAATATGCAGCAACTAACATTAGGCCTAATAACAATGGACGGTTATATGGTGGATGAATCAAGTACTCGAGATGACTAAAATTACTATTTTACAGTTTATAGGATCACTCATAATTTACTTGAAACAGCTTGGGTGACTAACGGATTTATATGACCTTGACTACGTTTGTGAGATAATTGAACAATTAAAATTCAAACGTCATTTTTTATACTAAATTAGAAATGTAACTTAGGTTAGAAGTAGCATATGCATCAGTGTTTGGCCTGTTTTAAATGTTATAGTCTATGCTGTTGTGTAAGCTATAACAATAAAATATGTTTTTCAAGTTATTGCTAATTTCAGTTGGTATTGATATGTACTTTCATACATATTTTTAGTAAATTATTGTTACTGTAATTAAATATCTAGCCTAAGTCTTCAAGAAAAAATTAAATTAATCCTTCAATGTGTATATGAAACTTAAAGATGTGATAATGGCAGTATACACCTAATTTCAGCCCGTGTGTAGTTTTCTTCTTAAATGCTGTATAGATTTAGTTATGTCTTTTAGCACTTATTTTACTTTGTATGTCCAGTTTTTCTCATAATGTTAGCTAAGTAAATTCAAGGCAATGATTATTTTCAGGGTTTATTCCCATTTTAAAATGTTTTATTTTTATGTTAATTTATATGAACTGTATAAAAGTAGAAAATAGTGGGGATTTTGCAGAGCCCCAAATATAGTCACTGCCTAAATTCAAACCTTCAGAATAATACACGAGGTGACTGAAATGAAAATATGTTAATTGCATATCTCTGAGTGTTGTTATATAAACAGAAATAACTCATTCAGTGGTAAAAATGACGGAAAGAGTTCCATATGGCACCCCCACCCAAAAATTGTAGAATTGCCTGGATAAAAAAGATACTGAAAAGGGTTTATTTTAAGGGGCGTATCAGAAAAATTGGGGCATGGCTTTTTGGGGTTTACCAAAAAAATAAAATAAAATGTTCCAAACTACTTTGGCACCCCCATTTCCTTTTGACACCCCTATTGTAACTAATGTTTCCAACTTCGTCAGCGTAATTCTGTCTTTTGATCTGTTATATCTATCTAGCATTGTACTTACGTTATTGGTACTATTAATATGATTTATTAATACATAAATATTACTTTGATGAATTTTTTTTTAAATTGAGTGGGGGTGCCATATGGAACTCTACCAAAATGACTCTCTTAAGAAAATTTTATTTGTTTCAAATGAGGTGAAATTTACATATGTTATATCACAATTTTAAAACATTCAAAACACGTAGATGTATCAGAAGTAAAGTAAGATGTTACAGTTAATTGAAACTATCAATAAATCCTTATAATTTAAAACTAATGAGTTAAGATCAGTGTACATGTTATTGAGAAACCAAAAAACATTGAAGTTTATTATGTGGCAGTATACATTCACTTTATAGCAGTAACAGTGGCTGGATTATTTCTATGGACTGAATGTTATAAACATGAGGGAGAAATAAAAATGTTGGAAAATCTGTTGTGTTCTATTTGTGTGTATTAGTACACCTCGTGATATCAGCTCCAATAAGTATCAAATGAAATCTGCTGTCATCTCTTCAGTTCTTTTACTCTTCAAACAATTTTCTTTGTCTGGTTCTGGGTAGTTTGAAAGTTTGCTATCAGAGAGAGAATCCTGTATCATGTTTTTCTTTTGCAGCATTTTTCTGTTTCTGGTTTGATTTATTTCTCTCTCATTCTTTAGTAGTCTGCTTATTTTTTCCAGTTGTTTCTTATTCTTTAATAATTGTTTTCACAGTTGTAATAATTTCTACAATTGCCCTCGTTACAATTCATAAAGGTTTGGTAATGTTAATGGATACCCAAAACATTTTTAAGGAGAATGGCCTACATATATATATATATATATATTTGTGCTCTATGTATAAATTGCTGCTATATAAAAATGTTCTAAACAAATCCTCTGCTTAATAACTCAAAGGTATAGATATCTTAGAAATCAGAATTGAACTTTTACTAGTAAGGAACAAATGAGATCAGGAAGTGATTTGGTAGAATGGTATCTGTAAAATACTTTGTCATTATGATTAAGCTCTCAGTTTTTGCCACTGGATTATTGCTCATTACATAATTTAAGGATAACAAGAAATCTGTTGGTTCTTTGTCCCATCCACTGAACTTTTAAAATTTAAATCATGAGAGGATACTTTTTTTAAAGAACTTAATTGTATTTCTTTATATTTAAGTAACAGACAATGTCAGGAATTGATGAGTTTTTATATCATGTTTTTCTTTTGCAGGATTTTTCTGTTTCTCATTTGTTTCTTCTCCTAATATTTTTATTGATCATCATTAGAGTATTGTTCATTATCCCTAGTATCTTAGAAAGTCATTTTTTTTTTTCAAGATTATAACTGGGTTTCTTCCTGCAACAGACAAAAAAGATCTCGGTGATTAATATTTTTAAGACGATAACCCCCTGCCCTGATATTTGAGTTTGTGTTATCCTTAATAACATGAAAGTATGACATAATTTTCTTCCTGTTAGAAACAAATTTGTTTTATATATAAAGAACCTTCTTTCGTACTCGTAAGTTTGCTGTAGTCATCCTAAAAATAGTTGCTTTTCAGCATGAGAAATTGCAACCTTATACTAAATACGAGGCCTGTGAGAAAAGTATCCGATCTGTTTTTTTTTTTGTGATAACCTGATGGATTTGAATCAAGCGCGCTTGCATGAGCCGACCTTGAACCTTCGTGCGCATGCGTGAAATTTATCCCGCTTGTTGATTGCGTCAGTTGTTGGCAAGCA